CCCGGCCCGGCCCCGCCCGGCCCCTCGGCTCCTGCTCCGAGGTTAGGCCGCTGTGTGGGGTGACGGCGGTGGAGGTGGGTCCGCCGTGAGCCCGGCTTTGGCCTGAGGTGCCCCGGCCCCGAGGGGGAAGTTCAGAAAGCACCCGGGGGCTTGGAAGGGAAGTAAGTTTATAACGTCCAGTGAAACCACCCGCTTTCCAAATTAATTGTTGGGATACTATCTAGGCCGAATAAGTCTTTTAATGAAGAACAAGCTAATATTTTTTAATGCTGTGTCGTAATTCTTGTACAAACTCGTGCCAAAGCTTTTGCCCTCCCGTTTTCTGTGGGTAACCTACGGCCGCCTGCGTGGCTGGTGTTCCCAGAGCAGGACAAAACCCCTGAGTAACAGAGGCGGTGCAACGAGTAGAAATTAGCTACGTAGAACAGGGTTGCTCTGGCTATCGATACTGAAAGGAGCCCCCCCTTCCCTCCTAGAGATCATTAATAATCTTTTTCTTTTCCCCCATTACCGCATGAAAGTAGATATTGCACGATTCTTCGTTCTTCTGCATCTACTGTGATTCCTGCATCTGTGGTGTGTTTTGCATCTGGACTGGCAGAAGCATGGCTGTGTATATCCAGAAGGATCCCCGGGACATTCCTCCACCATCTGAAAAGGACTGGCTAAAGGAAGACGAGGAAGATTTCTTCCTGCAGGATCCTGATCAAAAGCGTGATGCGTTGCCTCAGCCCTTCAGGATGGTCAACAAACTGGTGATGCTGGTTTTTGAGAATGCTATGGAAATCATTGAAAGAAGGGAGATGTTCCGAGAAGTGCAAAAACTAAACGTCCAGCCTACAAAATGCTTTCCTACAGCTGAATTCCAGGTACAGAGCCCCTCACAGAAGAGATAGCGTTAATCACCATAGCAGTTTTCCCAGAGAATATCCATTCAGTTGATTTTACATTCTTCTGTTCATCACCTTCCTCAGAATCCACCACCATCTCACTGATTCACTTCAAAAGGCTGCAGCTTCTAAGCTTGTCTGACAGGTTCTGCTTCCCACCCATCTATCACACCTCTCTGAAAAGAGAGAAGCAGATATTAAACAGCACTAAATTCACCTTCTGCTTCTCAGGCTGGCTCCACCCATGTTTGCCAAGGAACAGTAATTAGTCAGTAGCATATAAATGGGCAAACTCAGCTCTGTGTTATGGTGAATACCCTAATGGGAGTGTCGTGAGCAGAAGGGCAGCGCTGCCTTCCCCATCGTTCTGTGAAGGATACGCTGGCGTCTGCTGGTGTTCTGTGACTGACCAGAGGAACTCAGCATCCCGTCGCAGCTCTGCGTTTGTGGTGGGAGGGCTGAGTACTACTGAGTTCTTGGCCTTTAAAGCCCCTTTTGCTTATTGGAAGGGAAAAGGTGGGAGCAAACTTTCTCATTCCCAGCACAGGAACAATCTCTGTGACAGAGATGAGAGCCCCTCCCCTGCTTTTCTGATGAAAGCTCAGGCAAAAATTTTTCCCTTGTAGAATAAATCAGCATTTTCTGTTGGTGAAAGGGTAGGATTGTATCGCTGGTATGGCTGATGTACCCTCCACCGGGGAAGTAGTTTGGTACACTCATCTTTTCCCTTTTTTGGTAGGTAACTGGAAGAGCCAATTGCCTTGCAGTGTCTGGAAAATACATCTTTGTTGGTCTGTCCGTGGGTCTGGCTGCCTTCAGGGTGTCTGACTGTAAGGAGGTCTGTGCTTGGGATGCAGTCAAGACCGAGATTTGTGCCATCCATGCTTCGGATTTGGGGAATGAGAGCCACGTCCTGCTTGCTGTGGATGAAATGGGTTAGTGTGACGTGGATTTCCTTGACCTAGCTGGGGATGGCTGTGCTCTGGGGCTGAAGAGTTGGTAGCTGCATTATGGAAGAGTGCTAAGTCAGGAGGAACGTTAGAATGGCTGACAGGTTTCCTAGAAAGCCCTGCAAAGAGGGCATTAGATAACAGGTTGTAGGGTGACAGAGTGGCCCATAGGGCCTTGTGATTAGTAGAAGGTGGGGGTTTGGTGTCCTCTCCGGAGCAGCAGAGGCAGGTGCAGAGCTGAGAGTGAAGCGCAGTAAATTTTAGGAACACCTTGGACCAGAGAGAAAGAACCATTGCTAGGTATGAACTCCTGCCTGTGCTTTGTTTCAGCACCTGTAATTGCACAGCCCTGTGGTAAATAGGTTGGTTCGTTGATTCATCTGAAACCTATCAATTCTGGTGGAGATACTTTTCAAACTGGCTTATCCATCTCCATGTACAATCGAGTGTTTGCTTGTGCTGGCATAAGGAAGCCAGCAAAAGTTCAGTGCTGGAAGTGGTGGGATATTCTTCCTTGAGCCCAGGAGAAAATGTAGTCCTGTTCACTCTCCTGCGTGTTTTAACAGCCATCTCCCAAGAGCATGGCTACTATCTGTTCACTTCTCTCCTCCTGCTACTGTTACTTTTCTATTTCTATTCCAGGGCTTGTCTGGCTCTTCTGCTTTCACAAGGGAGGCTTCCTACTCGTTAAAATCCTAAATGAAATGGTAAGTACTGAGTTAATTCCATAGGCACTGGGCAAAGGCTGGTAAGTAATCACTCATGAGGAGTACTAACTGCCCTCAGGAATTTCTGTCATGGGCAGCAGCACTCCAAGAGTGCTGCCCCGTATTTATTCCTATTCTTCCAACAATCTGTCTGGCCTTCACCCTGTTGAGAACTGTGTAAGGCCGTGGAGCTCTCTGAATCGGTGATCTTGCTTTGATGCCAGCCCGTTTTTCTTTGGCAGGAGGATATCAGCAAACGAAGTACTTGTGAGGAGGTGGTGCTGTCCCCAGGAGGTGATTATGCAGGAGTCCTGCTGCAAGGCAAGTGGAGGAACATGGTGTGTTGCGTGACGGCTGTTGTGTTCTAGCAGAGGGGCCAGCAGCAATGCTTTTAAAATGCTCAAAGTGTTCTGGGTTCCAGGGATCCTGTTCCTAACCCTCCCAGTCCTTCCTCCAGCTTAGAGAGCTGCTCCTGGCACTCTCTGTCCTCTCCAAAAGGCCTGGTATGGATCAGGACTGATCCCAAACTGAGCTGTCTGGAACTGGTCAGTGCAGTTCCCAGCTCCCAGAAGGCTCAGTGAAAGCAGGTTTCCCACTCGTCTCCAGAAGTACCAAACCCTTTTCTGCAAAGGAAAATCACTACATAAGAACTGGGTATTGTAATTTCTGTTATGATGAGGTAGGAAGAGTAGAAAAAGATCAGTAAGAAGTAGGACAAAATCAGCTTCATGGTGGACATTGGGGTAAAAAAAGTCCAAGCTGGGTCATACAACGGCAGAAGGACCTGAGACCAAGCTAGAACACTTTTCTCTACACCTTTACCTCAGGATCCTCAAAGTAGAGTTGCCCATTACAATTTCTTCATAGGAAAGCCTTCTTAGCTTCTTGCCTTCCTCTTCATTTCTCTGTTGCAGTTGAAAGGTACAGTCCTACAGGTGGTTCAGCTGGCATAGCTGGAGAACTAAACTACAACAAGAGGGAAAGAATCAGCAGGTGAAGAGAGGAGTGGGCAGGAACCACTGGTTCCTTTCTTCCTCTGGTTCGCTATGGCTCACTGTTACACTGGAGATACGTACACTTGAAGAATTTTCTCTGCAGACATAAGCCAGACAGCACAGAGGCAGTCTTTAAAAACACTACAACAAACTCCTTGCTACAACATTCTTCTGCTTCATGGCAGCTGCCTTTGTCAACCCATTTGCTGCTAGCAGGTTTTTTGAACCTGTTTGGTGGAATCTGCCTGGACATATGCTGAGAATGAGATGCGTAGCATCCACAGAGAACCAGTGTGAGACCATGTCTCACTTTCTACTTTATCTCAGAGGCTACAGGTCAAATTCTTTGAGTTGCTTAATGGAATTTGTTTGGTGGATGTTGGACCTCAAGGACTTGAACTGGAGGCTGAGACATCAGTCTCAGTCAAGCATGTGAAGCATTAAGTGGGAGGAGAGGTGGGCTGCGTGGAGTTCACAGGGATTTTATATTTCAAAAAATATCAAAATCTTGTTTTAAGGATATAAGATAACAGAGGCTGCTTGCTTGAAAGACCTTTTCTCCTCATTTCCAATTGCTCAACATGGTTTCCCAATGCAGACAGCACAAAAGCTTGGCTGGAGATCTACCGATTGCCTAAGGATTCCTGGCTGAAGGAGGCGGAAAAGAACCCAGGAGCTGCAGCAGGGCTGGCTTGCAGGGAGAGGAGGCCAACTTGGACATCTGCGGTACAAAACAGATCCATCTCCCACTGTGCTATTTTTTCTTGCACTCTTTTGCCTACAGGTCTTTCCCCAAGCCTTGCTCCTGCAGACAGTGACAGCAAGATACAGGCTGAACAAGTCTGTCGGCCCTGGGGAGATGAAGTATATGTCTCTACAGCTGCTACAGCCGCCCATCCCACATTTCACAAGGCCTTTTTGTTATTGGGACATGTTTACTCTCCCAAGACTGGCTTTCCAACGAGGTTCCCTTGGTCCCAGGGCTAGCATTCCTGTTGCCCCTCCCTGAAACCGGCAGCTCCTTTCCCAACAGTATTGCCCCATCTGAGGAGGCCCTGTATAAGGGTATTCCCACAGGGTTTCTCCATTATGTTACTGGGGGGAGGTGAGGGAGTGGGAATCAGGCCTGATAGCTCCACTTGGGAGTCTGGTCTTGAACCAGGGTTCGTGTTTTAGGCTATCCACCGGATGAGCCTGGTGGGGTCACGTCTGAACCCACTAGAGCAGGGCAGGGTCTCTGCCTGTTGGTACTAACCACTGCCACCTCTGGTTCTTTGGCAGAAAAGTCTGGAGCTGCATGGAGACGGTTCTGCAGACATGGTAACTGGCCTCGATGAATGTCCTGAGCTGTTATGGGGAATTTTAAATGATGAGTCAGTGCTTAACCCTCTCCTGCATCGCTTTCACCCTGCTAGATTTCACTTCTCAACCCACAGGCACCTTCTGCCCAGCACCTCCAGCTAACCCTCTGTGATACGTGCCTTGTAACTCTTCCCTCCTCCTTCATCAGAGACTTTCCTGGCCGTTTAAGAGGGAGCTGCTTCTCAGCCCTGTGTTCAGGGCAAACATCCCTCTTAACCTGGCCAAGCAAAAAGTGAACACCCAGGTGTTCCCTCTTTGCTGATTCCACATAAACTACCCAAGTTCCTGTCACTTCCTTCTCAGACGTGGTTGATTATTTAGCCAGATCTTTTCTATTTAGTCAAGTGTCAATGTCGGTGGGTGGGTGGGGTGGTGGGGACAGACTGGTGCTAGTCCCCTGTAGTACTTTCCATTCCTAGCCAAGCACATATGTGACCTCTTCCAGTCCTGGTCTTTCTGAAGTAAAATCTGGTTCTTGTATTCAGAAGCACTCTGCAACCTTTAGTCCTACTTCTTTTTTTTTTTTTTTTTTTTTTTTTTTTTCCTGAGCCTGGATGTGCCCCACCCAGGCCTGTGCTGCAACAAGAGTATTTCAGAGAGATTAGTAAAATCAGAAGTGGAGGTTATTTAGGGCACAAAGACAGGAGGTGTCTGGGCAGGACATCCTTTGTAATGTTGAGAAAGCAGTGACCTCCCTCAAGCTTCTGTGTTTTGGCCTGAAGAATGAGCCTAAACCCAGTATCTTCT